TCGTCATGCAGAGCGCTTATCGCCACTCATCGGTAGCCTGCTCCCTGGGTGGGACTAGTTTGGGTACGGTTTGGTAGGTTGGGACCTTGCTACCAGGACACCTCGGTTTTCTGGCGACTGAATGGAATTTGTGTGGTCTGGTGGGCCAATCCTTGTTTGGCCCAGCGGCCTGCTCATCAACAGAAAGAGAGGCTGCACACCGAACATTGAAGATAGAATCCTGCATGGCTAGCTCCTTTTTTGTGTTGACTGAGGTTGGCTTTGGGCTGGCTGCTGCACGCAGCCTTTACTCTGCGAAGCAAAGAAAGTCGGGCACTAAAACCAGGTTGAATTGAGTCTGAGTCTTTTCTGGGACCTTCACGAGTTTGCAATTCGCGCAGATGGTGCGAGGCCCCGCTCTGGATGAGCTGCCTGCATTGTTGGGACAAGGACTCTGATGCTAGCCGACTGTTTGAGATGCTCCTTGCTCACGCCGACTTGCAGGAAAAGCGCCCGCCAAGCTGCTTTTTCTGCTGTCCTTGGCAGCTGCATGTGTCAGCCAGTGGCGCTCTCCTCAGCATTGCACCTCATAGCAACTCCCAGGCGGCATGGACGTTGTTAGGACTGCCAGCTTCCAGCCATTGGTGCCTTCTGCCGAGGATGACTTCCTACTCTGTGTACGAGGCAAAGCTGAATGCTCGCTGGGGTTGCCAAGCCCAAGGATTTCAAGGATTTCAATTTCAGTGAACCGCGGCTCTTCGGCCCGTGCCCGGGGCTCAGGTTATTTGATGCATACCAACGCGCGAGCCTGAGCTGGTGCATCGCGACTCTGGGCGTGGCGAAGTGTTCAGGCGGCGCCAGTTTGGCTCGGGGAGTTCGGCACCAACGGTTATTGGGTCTCAGATGTTTGGTGGATGGAAGTTGGAGAAGTTCTGTGGCTCCAACATTTGCTCCGATACACGTCTCTTGCCTGAGAGAGATGCCAGCCTTTGTCGCTTTGATTTCTTGGGATTCAGATTGTCAAACGCTGTGGTCTGTATTGGACGCTGCGCTCAGGAGAGCAAATGATCTGAGCTATGCGTACTGGGCTCTCAACGGCTCCACGGATGAATTCATGACTCGTATCAACGCACTTGTTGATTCTAGGCTGGTAACTTCTCGCGATTGCACGCCTTTTAGGAGACAAGGAGGGTCAAGAGGAGACCTTTGGCCTTTTGCAGCAGGAGAGAGCATAGGGCGGCTATGGGCAAGGTAGAATTGGCATGTGCAAGCATTTCACATTTCTCGGCTTGTGCGGAAGCGCGACAAGCGCACAATCAAGCGCTCAATTGCTTGGTGCCAAAGTGCTTCGACATTTGTGCATGGACTGATGGTGGCAGCGTTGCCTTCGTTGGAGCTGTGTCTCCATGAAGCTGAATCTGACTGTCGCGCTGCTGAGTGGCGAAAGGCAGGCTGAGTGGAGTGTGCTCAAGATGGAAGCACATGGACCACAAAGGCAATAGGTTGTCGCGCACACATCCTGGTATCACTAGCGTGCTCAGACGGGGTTTTGCAGTTTGCGTGTCAGATGTAATTATCAGGAGGTGTCATTCAGACTGAATTCTTGCAGAAGGGGACGTTGTGGAGGCCTGCGTTTTCACATACTATATTTTGTTTGCTTTTTCAGACAATTATTTTCAAAAGCAAACAGGTATAGCCTCCACAGAGCTTCTCCCGAAAATTCAGTACAAAACGGCTGGGCATTGTGGATTCCAGGCAGAAGTGTAGATTATTCATTGCATCTTCTAGAGTCGACATGTAGAAAAAGTAACAACACAAATTCAGTATTATTTTTGTTTTCTCTCTCCCCCCCCCCCCCCCGCGAGCCCCCAGACCAGGATCACTGGGGCCCAGTAGGTTTTCCAGGACTGGGTCGCCTTTAGCTTTTGCTCAGCAGACACAGTTGCAGTGCCCTTGCCGCAGGGCAGATCTTCAGGTAGAGCCAGACTCCACGGTCATTCAGATCCGTCGTGCAGCGGAGCTGGAACTGGGAAGACCTTTGCGGGCCTTGATTGCAGGAGGCCAGGGAAAGAAACTGTATGCCAGAAGGTACAGAAAATCTTAGCCTAGTGCTGTCTCACCTCAAGTCATGACTCACCCTCCCCTGTCACAGTCACGAGACTGCCCTGAGGCCTGTGTCTTAACGGTCCCAGCCGAATCTGTGATGTCGGCCTCCAAGATGGCGACTTTGTGAGCGCCATCGTGCGGGAACCGGGGCCGGTGATGGAGTCCTTTCGCAAGGCTTGTGACGCTGCGAATGGCCCGCTCCGGAAAAATCCGTAGTTGATGTACTCGCGCGGTCCCTCTTAGGCAATTCAGAGACGGTTGGTTTCTCACCTTGCCACACGTGGTATGGCGGCTGTGAGGCGCGTGCATTTGCCGCCATCGCTCACGACACAGTTGTGACTTGGGGGGCTCCACATGGTGGTTGAGACAGCAGCGCAGTTCAGAGGCGACTCAATGACATGATGCAGGTGGGCCTCACATTTTTTCGACCCTAAACCTGTTTGCTTCGCTTTTGAGGTTCATTCAAGAAATGTAACAAAGGCTTCATTTCGAGACACGGTCAGGTCTATATCTCTGAATTCGCATGTGCGGGAATCAATAATGATGGGAGTGTGGTGTCCTGGGGCTCTTCCCTCGCTGGGGGAGACAGCCATGATGTCCAGCACAAGCTGTCGGATGTGATCCATATACAGGCTACCAACTCCGCCTTTGCTGCCATTCGATCAGATGGATCGGTGGTGACGCGGGGGGATCCGCGCAACGGGGGCAACTGTGAGACAGCTGTGCACGGAAGTGTCGTCACTTGGGGCGCAGCTGAAGCTGGGGGCGACTGCCAGAAAGTTTGGGGTGAGCAGCTTGAACTGAACAGAGCAGCGTTTTGCTTTTGTGGTCCAAGAGAGTTGCCGAATAGCCGTCGTGATTGGCGGAAGCTTCGCCTCGCAGAATTCTTCGCAGAAGGTTTGTGTTGAATGACACAAGTGTGCAGCAGGGTGGGCGGAAGCCCGCGCAAGGGCTGGAAGGTTCACAGAAAGTTTGCGGTTCCTCCCAAGCAAAAGAGGTACCCCTTCAAGTCCTGTCAAAGACAAGTTTCTCGGAATCTATTGCTAGAAGAGAAGGAGCAGCTACAGTGCCGCGTGATGGAGTGAGGATGGACAAACATAAGTCCGGAAATCAGAGAACTGTGGCCGCGGGAGCAAAACTATCCAAACGGTAAAAGACAACTGTGAGAAACGGTAACACAACTGAACTGCAGTTTCTTTGTATGCGTCGCAAGGCCACGCATGTGCCCCAAGGCTACGCAATGTGCGGCAGATCCTAGCAGCAGATGCAGCTTTTGCAGCTATCAAAGAAGATGGCCGCGTTGCAACCTGGGGCTGTTCCGAATCTGGAGGAGACTGCACCACTGTTAAGGATCAGCTTATTGAGGTGCAGCAAATTCATTCTACCGAAGGGGCTTTCGCAGCGATCAGATTGGATGGCAGTGTGGTGACGTGGAGTGACTCATCCTCAGGCGGTGATAGCTCTGATGTACAAGCGGAGTTGGTCCATGTGCACCGCATTCATGCGGCCAGTGGAGCCTTTGCAGCAGTGTGCAATGATGGCAGAGTAGTCACATGGGGTGATCCGCGTGGGGGAGGTGACAGCAGCAGCGTCCGAGCGCAGCTGTCTTAACAATAGCGCCTATGCCACGCATAGGCGGCTGGCAAATCAGGTCCTTATGCTTCGGGGGAGATCTGTGCTGCCCAAGATGGGCAAGCTCTGATACCTCCGGTCATTAAAAGAGCGTGCTATTTGGCTGGTGCACTCTTCACTTGCACTGCTGAATTTTGTTCGCTATGCTGTTGCTAATGACAGTGCAACATCTCCATCGTCCATCACAACATGTCTTATTTCTTAGCCGCCACTCTGCAGTTCCAAGAAGGGGCAGATTACTTTTCTTGTCGCTCAGCGATCTTGAAGAATGACTGACGGGCTTGAATTGTTGGAATTGGCCGAGCAATCTGAAGGTGCTCAGAGATGCTTCAGTCCCACGCGCACACGCCCGCGCGCCCCCGCACACGCGGCATTGGGCACGCGCCCACGCGCACTCGAAGTGCGCACGCACACGCACGCACCCGCACCTGCGCCTGCGCACGCACACGCGCCCGCATCCACGCCCGCCCCCGGCGCACGCGCGCACGCGCACGCGCCCAGCCACCCACAAGCACATACACGCGCTTACTAACACACACACACACATTTCCCATCTATTGTTTGTGTTGTATATGTTCGGAAGCTTCAAGGAAGGCAAGCGAGCTACGTCCGTGTTCCAAGCATGACGGCAGGTGAGATAAGAAAGAACCAACAACCAAAGACTCACCCCGCGACCCAAACCAGAAAAGTTTACGAGCTGCCAGCGGAGCAGGTATTTGAGCCTACCTCATGAAGCTGCAGTGTTGAAGCTAGAAGCCCAGTGAAAGCATGACCATGAATTAGATTCAAACAATGTCAAGAGGACAAATTGCCATTGCTTGGAGTCTCCAAGTGTCCCGAATTCAAGCCTTGAACTCTTTGTCCGGCTCTGGTACCTCGCTTGACGCCCCATTGAACGCATTGAATGGAGCAATCTAGGGCGCTACGAGTCTCACGAGTGCACGCACAAACACTCCTTGCAAAGAGCAATCTTCATGGGAGGACTATGTGTCATTGCGCTATCCTTGGCTGATGCGATTTCTGCAGCTTGGCCTATGCTGGGCAATTCTTGTTAGGTGCGACGAGCTGCTCAATGCCAGCATGTAAGGCCATGACAAGTGAGACCGCTAGATAGGCCACCATGAGTGAGGGAAGCTTTCAAAGAACACTTTGTGGCGGAGCTGCCGGAAAGCAAAAGAGAGCTCTGAGTTTCTGCACGCCTCACCGCTTGTTGTGTCCCGCATCGCCACGTAGAAGCAGAGGGGTACTCGAGTTGGCAGAATAGCAGATTCGGAGCTTGGCAGGTGAATGCCTATCCGGCAGGCAGGAGGGCTTGGAAAGGACAGGCACAGATGCTCCTGCCTTGTGAAGAGGTGAAGCTCGCTGGTGTCCTTTGCAGAGGCGCAGAGAGACGCAACACAACAGGGCAATATGCAACAATTCAGGTACGGATTCAATTAGGAAGAAATTCAACTGACCTAATTTTGTCACTCCGTAATACGCTGACAAAGTCCCAAAGGCTGTTGTTGTTATTGCGGAATTGTGCACACAGTGTGATGAGTTTGATAGGCCTGTGGCTACGCAAGCCACACTGAGGCAGGAAGTGCTACCAGTGAAAGCTGCAGAGTTGTGCACCGCCCAGGGAGGTGCGCGTGGGGACAAGGTCCATGCCTTCAATGAGCCCACGTGTGGAGTTGCGGTCTCGTGCTCCCTGCACACCAACAGCTGGCATACCTCGAGCGCTTGTCATGTCTACGGGATCCACTGCGCCCAGCGTGCCCAGTGTTCCCAGCGTGGCCAGCGTGGCTGGCATGCCCAGCATGCCCAGCATGCCCAGTATGCCAAGCATGCCCAGCATGCCCAGCATGCCTAGCATGCCTAGCATGCCCAGCATGTCAAGGGAGCCTAGTGTGCACATTTCTGGCATTAGTACAGCTGGAGCAGCACCCTCTCGGTCCTATCGGCCACACTCAGTGTCCGGCTGTCGCTCCTTCACCCCACCTGGTGTTGTGGTACCTTCCTGGGCATGGCTGCATCCACCGGCAACACCGTCATCCACGTCAGCTTCCTCTGTGAATGCAGACAAAGGACCCATGGTGAAGGCCAAGGTTGAGTTGGAGCGACCACTGTTGAAGGCCATACCAACACCCAACCGCAGCAGATCAACGCAGAGAGCTCCAGTCAGCGTGCTGCCGGTTTCCCGCACCACTGTCGGTCCGTGCCCCAGATGTCCCGCGTTAGCCAGCCCAACTTTTGTGTGCGCAGGCCCGCCACTGCGAGCGACCCTATCCGCCATGCCATGGCGCATGGCAGTGCGGGCCAAAACTCAGGCAGGGCTCAGAAGTTTCACTCTTTCGGAATGAGGCTCGTTGGCGGGTGCAGAGCCTCTCACCAGAGGCTCGATAGCAGGCGGGCGAGCCGCTGGGCATGCAGAAAGGATGGATGGACATCCGGAGCTCTTAGAGGTGTTTGTACACTTGTCACTTGGCCAGGATACTTGTTGGAGTCACCCAATGTGAAGGTGAAGGTGTAGTTGTCCACTGCCAATTCATGCATCTTGCATTTGAAGTAAGAGCAGCACTGCTGCAGAATTCATGTGAAGCATATTGTAGTGAGAGGATTTGGATAGTTGCTGTCCAATTGGACATTTGGCTTTGATCAGCCAACTGCCTGGGACTGGCTTGGCTGACGGCGGAGAGTGTGCTTTGCCATGGTGCACATTGCATGTGCTGCGGCCAGTGAGAATCGAACAGCCAAGGGAAGAACTAAAGCTGGGGGCAGTTTGCAGTTTCGATCTCTGATTCCTGCCTCACTGGACGTGCACAATTCACAGCATGCCCCACGCTTGTTGGCAAGTTGCTGGAGTTGGCACACGTCAAAGCCGAGCAACGGCCATGTCAAGCACATCATGCAGTGCCAAAATTTGCGACATTGGGTGGCTGTGGCAAGAGTGAAGCAGCTTGAAGGTGAATGTATGGTGTGAGGCCGTCAACTACTTTAGAATGCAGAGCTCCACAGTAGCACACTTGCAAAGACGACACTCTTGGTTCACCCAGTCAAAGTGCAAAGGCCAGAAAGACGTCTGCATGGGCAGAGACCTGACAAACAGCAACAATTTTCCGCTTCTGTGCAACAGCTCGCATGCTGCTGCTTATTATTGTATGTGTCTTTTCCTACCTCCTTTACATCGCTCTTGGAAGATTTCTGGAGCGGCGTGACTTTGCTCAGTTCAGCCCTGCTAAACTAGGCAAGTGCGTCCAATCCAGGCAAACTGCGGCAAACTTTAATTTGAGTTCTAAGGCGTTGCGCAAAAACGGCTGGGCGATCAGCGGCGAACGTTGTATCCGTCAGAGACCCAGAGACCCAGAGCTATGGCTTCAAGGAGCATTGGCACGTGGAATACGCTGCAAGTTCTTGCAGTTTTGCCCTCCCGGACAGGCCTGAAGTGGGAATTACTCCTGGCGCTCAACAGCTGAGCGAAGATGCCGATGTAGAGCTTAAGAAGGAGCTGCATCGCTCTTTGACGCGTATGATGTTTGTGCGTGTGTGCATGTCCATCAGACTTTGGTCGGCACATGGAAGAGCAAAATACTTGTTTTGACTACTTGAGGTATACGTGATGGTACACAGATATTCTTTCACATCCTAAGACCAAAGAAGCAAGCGCCCACGCATGCTCTCGCCGCGCTCTTATTCACAGACACGTGTACCTTGCACCATTCAAGACCCAAACTTTTGTGGCTAAGCCAGCGAGTTTGAGTGAGCTGACAGGAGCTTCTTGCATGTTCAATGGAACGTCTGACACAACTGACACAACTGACACTTGTGTGTGTAAGGGTTTGAATGCTGGCATGACACTGTTTTGGGCTCCAAGGTATTTTTGCATGGATATAGCTCAAACGGCGACTTGTACCTGGAGGTGCAACTTGAGCTGCCCGAAGATAAGTCTGCTGTTGAACTCTGCAGTTCCTGGCCGACCTGGCGCGCTCTGGGATACTGGTCCTGTGTCTTGGCACGGGCTACGGGGCTACGGGTCACGGAAAGTCTGGGCCCATGAAGCCCAAGGGTGCCAGATTTGCCGTGCCATGGGCGCTCCGTCAGCAGCCCAGATGCTAAAGCGAGTCGGAAGTCGGAAGGCGTCTCAAGTCTCCACAGGATGGCCTGCTTCTGTACATCTCTGACTGGTGGGCCTGGGTAGAGCAAGTGTGGACTGCACTGGAGCTTGTTCTGTAGCTCGGCTCGACGAGTCAACCTGCACCGTTCTTCGCGTGTGTGCAAGTCTCCCAACCGAGCAGAAGCATCAGCTTAATGTCACACCCACTGGCTAAGGCCGCTGGAGTGCATTGTGGATGGGGGTATGCTGCCAATATTCTTGGCAGGACGCTCTTCTAAGCAATCTTTGCATCCGGGGGTCTTCAGACCGTGTCACCCCTTGCTTTCTAGTCCAGGTCACCCTTGAGCTCATGACAGCTGGCATCGTAGATTTCAGAGTTGAGGCTGTCAGGCAAAACTACAGCTTACAAGGGCGCTGCTTTTCCACAGCCTTGGAGGAAATTCTTTGGGTGGCGGGCTGGCGGCCTGTTTGGCGTTGCAGCGGCCAAGCTTCTTCAGGGGTGTGACCTGTCTGCAATGCAATTTCGCTTTGCATTTGTCACTCTTGATCACAATAGGCTGATCATTCTTTTTTTTGCGCAAACAAAAGGACAAACTTGACCTTGCCGATGAGGTTATTCTGATTTGCCCCATGTTGACTATCAGTGATGAAGTCAAGCCGCCCTGGATCGTCCAGATGACCTTTAAGCATGTGATTGCCCCATTGCTTTTTGGACAGACATGGGTGGCAGTGGTTGTAATTCGATTGCCCACACATTTGCTTTCAAACTGGGCATGTGAGTTGAACAACTTTTCGCTGGCTGTTGCAGTAAGTGTGAATCAGAAATATTGACTTGCAGCTGAGGTTTCCGACCCTGCCAGTGACCCCTGTCAAAGGAACAGCCCTCAGTTTTGAGAATTTCACGCTGTGAATGTGAAGGTGCTTCATGAGTGCGCACCCTTGACACATGTGGGGACGAAGCACGATCGTAAATTTGACTAGTTGACGGCTAACTTACGAGCTTGCTGCGCTCTGACACACACACACACACACATTGACAACTACTTGAACACCTCGATCCCCCAACTTTGTGCGCACACACACACACATTGCACCCTAAAGACGCCTCGGACACTAAGACATGGCAGACTTTGACTTTCGAGACCCAGCGCAAGGAAGGTCGCGCTTTGACTGCAATGATCCGCAATGTACTGGCTGTTCCATTTCCAGACTGGATTTTGAGCCCGACTCTTGCCCGAGGTATGTGAAAGCAAGTCCGTTTTCGCTTCAGGGCTTGACTCCTCGGTTGGGGACTTCGATGCAGCTCGGATTCATCTTCCCTGAGTGGCTGGATGAGCACCTGAGCCAGGCCCAGGGATCTTGAGAGTGAGTGGGCTCGAGTGATAAGATTGATGTCTTGAGGTGCGAACGCCGTTCTTGATTCAGCACAGTCCGGAGGATAGAATTACGGACCCCAAGACCTCGCCGCTCAGCAAAGCCACGCAGTCCTTGCCAGCTGTAACTGCTGCAGTACTGTGTTGCACGCAGTTGGGACATGCTCGTACTATGCCGGAACCAAGGCAGCGCCTGTTTGATGAAGCTATTGCCAAGGACAAGACTATCAAGTTCTACGATGGGGCTTCTTGTTGGGAAGTAATGTTCCACAACTAAGATGTTTTTTTCATTACAAATCTAAGGCGTACCACTGCGAGCTTTTTTGCTGTCTCCCCGGCAACGCCACTTTCATTGGCATTCCGTGGACTCCGGAGCAGGCAGGGAGCAAGCAGTCTCAGGAGCAAGATGGCGAGTAGCAAAACAAGACTAACTGGCAGTGAGTGCGAGCCGTACTGACTTGCAGCCACACGATCTTGTTTGATGATGAGAGAGAAGGAGTGACGCTGAGTTGGCAGAGAACGAATGAGATCAAGGGATGTGATGCTGACTGCTGTCAGTGCCTGCGCCTGCCAAGAGGGTTGGAGTTTTGCCTACGTGACGTGCGTTCTGTGCAAAGCTCGCACACATGAGCATACGGAAAGTAAGCCTGCCACACGAAGACCTCTAATTGCTGTCAGAGCTTTATTCTGGAGGGCCTTTTGAGTCCACCAGTTGCTTTGCTATTGATTTCTGCTGACCAGACCATTTCTTCAGCGTTGGCGCCCATGAGCCAGAATAGGAGGACGGCGGCGAAAATGGGCTATAGCCGACGCAAATGCCTGCGTGAGGCCTACGTTGAGCCTGCGCGAAAACCGGCTGAGCTCCTAAGTGTACCAAAACAAACAAACAAGCAGGCGATATCAGCAATGCCCTTGTAACTCGGCTACTCTTATCGCATCCTCCCCAATGGTTCTCACAACTTGCCCCAATTCCTGCCCCACTTGTTTCTTTCTCTCAATGAGCAAGCTGTCAAGTCTAGCCTACGCGCCGCCGCCTACGCCAGAAGAACCCCAGGCAGCCGTCGAAATTTGGTGCAGCAATTTGTCTACGCGGGGCCTGATATGTCCACTCTACTTTGGCTGTTTGCTGACATCAAAAGAAACAGCTCTGCTCAGGGGTCCAGTTGTGAGACAGAGAAAGGGAGAGATTGTGCAGAACACAGTGGCCGGGAGATGGAACTCATGGGCATTTTTTGAATGTGGCGCACTGTGTCCATGCCTGGCACGGACGAGAGCAGAGAGATGCAGTGCAAGGAAACGCTGTGTGAAGGTTGGCTCTCAGCTTAAGGACAAATGACATTGGATGAACGGATCTGTGTGTGGCAACAATTAAACGGCATCCCATATGTCTGTCTGTTAGGTTTCGAGTGGGGATGTGCTAATATGCCCTGTTCCAGCCGTGACAGGAGGCTACCACGCAGGCATGCCTGAAGGACATGAAGAAGTGGATGGCAGAAAGGATCCGCAACTTGTCTGCATTTGGAAGTCTGGCTTGCAACCCTCTGTCGCGTTACTTGGGAAGACAACATGCTTCCGTTTGGCTGAAATATTTGGGTCGCTGCACCGTGCCTGTGATGCTGAACGCTGCGAATGCAATGTTCGTTTGTGAAAGGTTGATATGCGGCTTGCTTGCGGTTCATGAGAAAGAGCGCGGCTCTTGTGCTGCGAGTTTGCAACAGGAGCAGCTGGCTGTTGGGTGTGCAGTCCGTGATCCGCATTCAGATGGCTCGAGAGCATTGCTGCCTTGGTTTAGCGAAAGCTGCGAGCTGAGTGCCAAGCTCGCAGCACTTGCCATGGAAAGTAAGAACCATGCTTAACTTGTAAGGCAACCATACAGCTGGCTTCCGGCCTAAACTGCAGATGGTTTCAGGCGCCATGGCACTGAGAGTGCTGGCGGTGTGTGGCATCCTCAGGATGTTCCTTCTCAAAATACACACGACAGGTGGTTTTGCTGGATGTGTGCCTTGGAGCCGTCTTGTTGGAGGGCCTTTGTTTCCTTTGCTTTAGGAATTCGGCATTTCCCAGCATGTTTGCGCGGTGACCCTAACCCTCAACCCACCCTCAACCCACCCCCAACGCACCACTAAACCCAAAACAACCCTAAGCCAACCTTTGACCCACTTTAAGCCAACCCCTAAACTAGCCAGAAATCACCTTAAATGCATCCTGGGCCAATCCTACACTCACCCTGCATCAACCCAAAGCCACCCTTCGTGCACCCAAGCCGGAAACCCACCATAGACTGACTCTGGCAGGATCCCAACCTCAAAAGCCCACGCTAAGACCCTTAAGCAACCCTATGAAGCATAGCTACAACCAGTCCACACATGATACATTTCGGCCCGTGCCAGGTCTGAGCCTGGTGGTTCTCAGGCCATTATTTTCTTCCAGGACTGCCCAAAGAGCGAAATATCGAGTTACTTTGCCAGGAACAGTTCTATGCACATTGCGGGTCTAACAGCAACCACCACCACCAGCCTCAGCCTCCCCAGGAGCTTTGTTTGTTCCAGGTGGCAACGGCGTGTTGCTCAGGAAGTGGTCGGAATACACTGAGTGGGACGCTTCTTTCCAAGGCCCAGTGCCATCCGCAAGAAGGACGACCTCCTGGCTGCATCGATTCTGCGGTCAAGATCTAGGCCTAAGCTGCCTTGGGCGTGCCATGGTGTGTCACTTACAAATCACGCCCAACAGGCCATGATTCGTTTTGTTTCCTCAAACGGGATGTTGCAGCTATGGAGCCTTCCAGTCACATCCAGCAATTGGATCTTTCCAATGCCTGATGTCTCCCTGCAGCTCCCAGCCTTGCTGTCCGTGCTCTGTGGCAGGCCCTGGGTCCCAGATGCTGAGAAACAATGCCAAAGGCAGTGGTGGGCGGTGGCGGGCAGGAATCTTGGATACTTTTTGGTGCAGAAGAAGAGGGCCTGTGCTTGCAGATCATTGATGGATATCATGATGCGCTTTCCGCGTTTTCTGGAAGCCACCAGTTTAGGTCTAGCAACTCTTGCCCTACGCGCTTTTGGAGGCAATGTCAAAGCCACACTCAAGTGGGACTTGTCGTAGAATTTTTGAATGCTCGGGATTGCTGCGGCTCATGACACAGGTCGGCCGGAAGGCCATGAAGCAAAGTTTCAGATGCGCGAGGCTGGCCATGTTGAAGTTTCTGTGACATTGTACTGTAAGTCTTTTCAAAAAAGCAACGGCGTACATTGAGCAAAGGAGGAAAGCCGCTACAAGGATACCTTATGCATGAATGTTGACATGTGACAAGACGCCATATCTGTAACACCTGCCGACACTGCTCGCCCCGAGAACATATAACTGGCATTTGAGGAGGCTTAAGCGGTCGTGATGGATGGCAAGCACTCATCTCGTCCCCCAAAGCAGCACTCCGTGCAGCTCATAGTATCATTGATGGAGTCGTTGCAAGTTGCAGTTTTCCTCAAGTGTGACGATACAAACCACGTTACTGGAAACAGGATGGCAGCATGCTGCGTCCCAACATGCACTAAGCTTGTCCAATGCGTCAAGTCTTGTAGAGTTGACGCTCTTTCAATTGGGTGTCACAGGATACATGCGCTAGGAAGGTGTTACAAGCCAAGACGTGTCTTCTCCTGCTTTCTAGTTCTGGTGACATCATCGTCAGAGGTTCAATGCTAGCACGATCACGATGGGCTGTCCAAGATTGCACAGTCTGCAGTGCATGACTTGCCGAGTCCGAAATATATGTCCAAGTCCTATGTTTGATTGCAGCTGCTAAATGGCAACAGCCGGGAATGTGTTGCCATCCCCGCTGCTAACACAGGCGACTTGCACTTTTCGCGACACCACAATGAGTTACATGCTGAAAGCGAGAGGCGGTGCGTGCAGGCAAAGAGGAAGCGCGAAGCAGCTCAATTCTTCACGTATCAAGCACGACTGCTGAGGAGCCAAGACTTCGCTGCTTGATGAAAGCAGATACATGTCACCCATGATACTTGGGCTTGGCAAGCATTGGTTGAGCATACGCATATTGTGCAAACAAGTAAATGCATACACAAATGCACATATATACATACACAGCCACTTGTACATATATATATATATACACACATATGTGAGGTTGTCAACATTACTGGTAGCCTATGGTCCATTTGAAAGGGACATGGGGGGACTCACTAAATCAAACAGGTGCGATTTCCATGTTTTTGTTGATTTTTCCACAAGACCAAGATGTTCCAAGGGATTTGTTGGGCAATCATGCCAATGAGTCTATGGTTGTTTTTGTTTTGAAGCAACCAAATCAAGACTTTGCTAGGTATTCCTGGCTTTTCAGCAAAAACATCAAGTTCTTCTAGGAGCATCAAAAGCCTGAGATTTTCAAAGCTACCTGACTGTTGCAAAAGCTAATCGATTCTTGTTGATGAAGAAAATAATACCCTTTTGAGTAATGCCGAATTGCTGCAACGCACTGTAGCCTGCCTTTCCTTGCTCACTTCACGCATAGCCATCACCACAAGTCTTCCATCAAACATGGCCGGGGAACAGATCCTGCAACATTGCAGCCATTGCTTTCAGCAGGTTCTTCTTTGGTGCCAATACAACGATCATCCTTGAATGACGATTTCGTCGTCATGCTCACTTGTTTGCATATCACTTTCATTGTTATTCTCACTGTAACTAGCGTCATGTCTCCCAACCAATTTGTCTCTCTGTTTATGTTCATTATTGTTCCGAGTAAGTTCTGATTAATTTATCAGGGTTAAATTGAGTGTGGGTTTCTGATAGTAACACATGTACAAAGTCGATGTTTTGTTCATGCGGCGCATTAAAGGACCTGACAACAACACTGAATGTGTATGACTGGACAATATTAGACATAAGACGTGTTTGATGTAGCATAAAAAGGAGTCGGAACATAACGATGCATTTCCTTGCCTTTAGTTGGTGTGTTGCTTTTTCGGTGAAGTGATAGGGAAGTCAATGGTGTACCTGATGCTAAGGTTATACACTGTGTTCAGTGTTAGTGATATGATTACACATTATTCAACGCCAGCTTTCGTTGTATGCTACTATTGCAATCTTTGCTTTCCTTTTTACACAAACAAATAAACATGTTTCACAATCACTTCTTGAATGTGACTATAGATAGACGCACAAGGCACGTGGAATGACAGAACAGTGGAAACAACATCTTAATGATAAAGGTTATCCAAAGCATGCTCAACTTTCAGTTTTGGACGGTAATTGTGGTTAGTTTAATGTTGGTAATTGTAAAGGTATGGTGTGTAAAAGGAGCGACAGTCTTATCCGCCTACATAAATAAACTTATCATAAGAAAACTCAAAGATTCAGGCTTGAAAATGCTGAGTTATCAGTTAATATAATGACTGTCCAATTAAAGACAAATAACAATACTGCTGCCAATCATAGTATCAGTCATGATCAGAGAATAAAGCAGTACCCCACTTTGTTGTGGAGAGTCTAGAAGAACATGCACCTGTACCAAAATGCATAAGACACAAGCAATATTTTGAACAAGACAGGGTTTATAACAAGTGTCACAATACTAATAATTATTATATTAAGGACTTAAAGGGAAAGAGCTGATTTAAGCGAAATGGGAAGAGAAGTGGAAAGGCTAACAAGTTTGATGCACCTGATCGCACATTTATAAGGTACAAATCACCGGTTTAAGTGATACCGCAGTACTCAAGAAAGTTTAGAAAGAACTTCCGAGCTACGGCAATAAATTGAAAGCTAGCTCTATAAGCAAATAAGCAAGAGAAGAACAAGCGCGCGGGAGAAATGCGTGTGCACGTGTGGCGGGTGAATAGATTTGCTAAACAATTGCAACACTCTGCGGATTTTGGAGCTTCGGGATGCTCGAAAGTAAAGAGAGAGAGAGAGAGAGATATGATGGGTAGATATCCAGATAGGCAGACGGGAAATCGAGATTGAGCGTGTAACAAGATAATGAGAGAGAGGGGCAGATAGGTACACATGTGTGTAGATTAGATAGGTAGGTAGACAGAGCCAAGAAATAGATAGACAGACAGCTACATAGACAAATAGGTTGATAGATGAATAGATAGATAGGTAGACCGAGATAGAGACTTTCGATAGAAACAGGCAAGCGGATAGACAGGCAGAGAGCGAGAGAGAGATTGATGTGGAAGAAAGACAGAAAGAAAGAAGAGAACCGACGAAAGAAAGACATATCAAAAAAGGTTGACAAAAAGACAAGACAGAACCACTGAACACAAATAAAGCCAGACAGGGTCAACATGAATACAAGAAGAAAAGCAGAAAGAAGAACAACATATAGCACAATTACAGTTGTATATCGATGCTTCCGCCTGCCGGCTTCGACGGTTCTACTAGCACTAATGACAACAATAAATTTGACCATACTGATGCTATGTTGAACACCAAAGTATTTTTCCCAAATCAGGTTCCCAACAGGCTGATGGTGCTACATGCGCTTTCAATTAGTCATGAGAAAACATGTTCATGGCATCCTGCAACAATAAAGCCTGGTGAGCTTCAGCTGGGTCCTGGGTGCCTGCGCTGTTTTTCAGAGCTTCAGGCGGGTCAGGAGCTTGAGCTACCCACAGCTTGGACTCTGAGTTTTTGGCTTGCACAGGTAGATGCTGGATCTTGAGTGCTTGTGATGTAGTCGTTCCGAGCTGGAGGGGCGATCCTGGACGTGTGTGCACAAATGCATATGTATATATATATATACATATGTATATATAGTGTGTATATATATATATACATATATATATATATATATATTCGTGTGCGTGTGTGCAAGCCCTGACCACCGGGACGGGGCAACCTATGGGCAACCGTCGGAATTTCCATCTAAATTCTCCCCTTGTCGGTTTTTGGTCTGAACGGGCGCAATGCTGGGAACTTTGCTGATGAGCCCAGCCAGCATCTTTGATCTGGCATGGGCACTGTCGCAACAGATCTTTGCCTTTCTTTGTCATTTCACTTGGAGCACTCAACCTTACAAGCAAGCAAACTAGTCAGCTCTGCAGGGGCAACCAGCGGCAATCCTCACGTGAAGGTCTAGAGTTCGCCTGAACCGGTCCACGAATACCAAGTTAGTTGTCTGATGTTGGTACGCGTACATGTATATGTGTATATGTTTCCATATACATATCCACAATAATTGGTGCCGTTTGTGCCTCTCGCTGCGGCTTCGCACGTGCCTGCCCTCAAGCAGGACTGGCAGTCCACCCAGAGATGATTTGTGCCCACTCGGTTGCACTGTTCAACGGGATCAGCTGGAAGGACATGCTTCTGCGCATTGCGCACTAATGGTACTTATGCTTGTCCGGTGGTACTCCTGAGAACAATTTGCCCTTTGTAAGCTGAAGGTACTGGCGCCGTGAAGAACGAATGCTCTTCAACACGGCCAAAATGTACAAAGGGTGCCACATGCAGTTGTGATTTTGTCCTTGTTGCGTTTGTTCCCGGTGGTTAGAGTAATCTGTATCTGCTGGTGGCTTCGGAGTTTGCATTCAGGATAAACTTTGATGATTATGACTCAGTAGAAGTGGAACGCCGGGGTGGCTATGGTGATGAGGCAAGTGAGACAGACAGCAACTGAAAAACATTCTATGCGTGAGTAGGAAGCATATGGCACTGACGGTCAGAAATGTCCCTGACCAGCAGGTGATATGCAACTCTTTCCAAGATATTTGCAAGCAATACACCATGCCCAAGGACATCATTTGTTTTTGCTTTAGGCAAGACCAAAGCAGACTCTTGACTGACACACCCACTGTGGGCGTCCAAGCCAAACTCAGACTCTTGAAGAGCAAGGGTGGTCAGCATTTGCTTGAAATGGCCCAGAGTCCCAGTGCAGCGCCCTTGTTTGGCCCAAGGCCCATGACCAGCTTGTGTGCTGTGCAAATGCGTGTGACAGGAGCTTGTGGACAACGTGCTGCATCGATGCGGGCCCCGCGGTTTAAGTGTCTGAACACCTCGCTGCGTTTGCTGCCCTTTATTGTACTTAGGGAGACGTGCCACCTTTTGTCAGGTATGACAAGCCCACACCAGCAGGAGCCCCAGAGTCTTCAGTGCCAAGAGGCAGATATGATATTTCATTTTGTTGAAGCTTCCAGCACACAAGCTGAGGTACAAAAACATGCTGTGCCAGCTGCGTTGGCTGGCAACGATGTTATGGCTTCGCCGCCATGAGTTGTTTGATGACATGCCTCGCTGTGTTGTCCAGAAGTCCATCGGCATGTTTGAGTCATCGACCCTCTCTAAGTGTTTCCATTACTGTAGTGGCTACGACAGGGAAGCAGGCACACATCTGATTGCATTTGCGTCTGATGAATCGCTTTATTGCGCCAGGTGTGCGCACAGACAGGAAGCGGCAAAACTGCTGCTTTTCTGATTCCATTGATTGTGCGCCGTCTCAGTCTACACATGTGGCGAGCATGTTCCATGCATGGCGCACACGGTGGGCTCAGTTGCTCAGTGGATCCATTGGTAGACCGTGGCTAAGCTGTGACGGGTCGAAAGTAGTGCGGGTGATGCATGTCCCCTGCAAATTGCTCTTTGACTTCTCTGAACCATGAGATTTGCTTCAGTTTTTTCTATACCTTGTTTCTGCATCGGTAGCACTGCTCGACCTGTCGCAGAAGAAGCGGCGTATTTACCAATTTGGCCCCTTGAGATCATGGCGTGTTCTAGGGCAGTTGGTGAGTGGGGCCTGAAGGTCCTGCTAGTGATATTGCCAATATTGCAGTAGCATTAACAGGCAGTAGTAACAGGCAGTATGGCAGGGTAAGTTGCTTCAATCTGACCGATCTCTGGCCTCCCTTGAGCTGTACGTCAGGCAGAGACGCTGATTGCTGGACAACAACAGCTGGTCGAGGGGGCAGTTCAGCCAACAGCGTTCCGGGCCCAGATCTGCTTTCTTTCCGTGCTGGGTTTATCGCGATGGTGCGTTGCCTCAGGCGTTGTTCCACATGAGGTTGGGTCAAAGTTGCTAGCAGTCTATTGTCAATTTGACAGAGACATGGGGGACTCAAAATTGCGCGCAAAAAGCGCAAGTTTCCCATGTCCCTGACAGGATGACCATGGCTTGCATGAGCCAATGTTACTTAACGTGGGTGAATTTTCTGACAAAACATGGGCTCACTCGATTTGCTCACGTCATCTTGGGGAACCACACATGTTGTTCGTGGCTCGCGTTGACATATGTGCTCAAGGAGGCTGATAGCTGTTCAAATAAAGAATTCAGCGTTGACACATGTGTGCTTCCCTCGTGCTCTGCATTCTATAGTCTTGATGTACACATATCTGTATATATATATATGCTCCGCCTTATGGACTTGTTGTGACGATGGGTTTGTGGATGAAGGGTATTTAAGCAGATTACAAAGTCAAATTCCAGCTTGGTCCTAAATAACCTCAACTTCGAAAAGGAGTTCCTAAAATTGAACAGCTCGAAAGGTCACAAACTCGGCAAACCATCAATTTGGGGGAAAGGAACTCATTTCCACTTAGATTGCTACTCGCAGAGCAATTCCATTCAACATTTCGATCAAAGAACAACTGCGAAACAACTATTGACATTGCCAGTTGAAGCTTGAATCAAGATCGCTTTAAAGGGATCTTTTCCTCATCTAATTCCGTGTGATTTTATCCAAGTAAGAACTGAGCCAAGCCAATAACAGAAAAGTGTCTTACAACGTGAATTTGCCTCTTGGCACAACATGCTCTAAACGTGGTGTTTTGCAGCATGTGCTCAGATTGTGTTCCCCCATCCACAGCAAAGGGAAAGCAGATTGTACCCCAAAACAGCCCTAGGATCCAGAGTTAGAAGAAGTGCAGTCCCACAAAAGAGGCCTCAATTGAAAGCAGGGTCTAATATTTATGCCCTCTTTGTTTTCCTTTGCGGAGCCTTTAATTCCTTAGATGGACACCTGGAGTATCGGGAGGCATAACACTGTTTTGTTTTTGAAGCATTCCCACAACAAGCTTTCTCAGATTCTTGCATCTTGAAACCCTTTTTTGATTTGACATTTCCAGTGTTGTCCCAATACTCCTTAGATTCATGCAGACGCCTGTCAGATGGCGGATGTTGATATCATTGCTTACATTACCCGCATGTGAGCATATCTATATATACTTTAGAGCCTCCAGCTCAGTCCGCCGACATTGTCCTCTCCCTTTTCTCCTTCTTCCTCTCTCCCTTCTCTCCCTTGTGTGTTCTGTCGTCCTCTCTCCCTCCCTCTGCTCCCCATCCTCCCCATCCCCCCAAGCCTCTCTTTCCCCAATTTCCCTCTCTCGTATGTATGTATGCATGTATATATGTATGCATGTATGTATGTAATGTAATGTAATGTAATGTAATGTAATGTAATGTAATGTAATGTAATGTAATGTAATTAATGTATGTATGTATGTAATGTATGTATGTATGTATGTAATGTAATGTAATGTAATGTAATGTAATGTAATGTAATGTAATGTCATGTAATTAATGTATGTATGTAT